AGTGACTGCGGGCGCCGTTCTGCATATTGTTAACTGACCCGCATCGGTACCAGTCAGGCGCTCCATACCACCTAGACGGTTGGTCTGCGTAAGGCTTATTTCGGCGAATAACACTAGCCCAAACTGTTGGCTGACCCTCGCATATCTTTGTTTTGTAGTAAATTAGCTATGTTGGTGGAAGGATTGCAAACCTAATTTAGATCACATGCCCATTCGATTGCCTATGTGGTCCGGGGCAGATTATAGAGAGATTGATCAGTGCTGATCGTGCTCGATAGGCCGCTCGCCTCTTCTTGGTGATCCGTAGCTTGGCAGTAAGTTGGCTCATTGGCAAATGGGAAGAAATAAGTCGATAGCATTAGAATGCGCTGCTATGGTCAAATGTTATGAGAAGAGCTATTGTGCCCTACTTCAGCATCGCCGTCATCGCAAAAGGTCTCGTTCGAGAAGTCGAAGTCGTAGCAGAGAGAGAATACCTGGTCGAGTACATATAAATCCGAATTTTGCGTACGTTACTAATAAAATAATTATCGAAAATATGCAACTCTCTTCAAGAAAGCTTTTACAGAAACTTGGGACCAACGGCGTCGTCGTTGCTAGAAACCAACAATATTCTTGAAGCCGAAGTTGTACGTTTGCGAAACGAATTAGGCTGCACTAGCATACGCATTAGAGCGCTCGAAAATGAACTCAGGTGCGTAAACTGCTTTTTTGCTGCTATTCATATCGCATTTTGCACATTTCAGCAACGGTACAGTTCTTCGTAGCAATCTTGAACAAGAATTGTCCATATCTCGCCTTAACTGTCAAAAACTACAGCAAGCTTCAACTAAGAGCTCACAAGTTTGTTGTTTTTTCCACAACTTCATTTGCAATATTATTTCTTCAAGTGTGTGTTGTTCTTTTCCAAACCCAAACGTTGTTTTTATGCCAATGGATCCTCAGTGAGGACGTAATTTCTCTGTTTACTTTGGTCCATTTTTGCGCTCTTTCAGATAATTTCCTCTTTCAAAAATGACATCGCAACGGTTCGCAAGGAGAAAGAAGCAGTTCTGGAGGTTTGTTTTCGAAGTCAACATAAGTTATGCAAATTAACGCTAAATGCTTCTGTAATCTTCCTCTTGAAACATTTATTGACTGTTTGAGTTACTTGCCTTTCCATGCAAATTATATGCCGGAATTCAGTATTTGACATACATGCAAACAAATACTTGTTTGTGTTAGTTGATGACACTTTCTGCGCGATTTGATCATTGGGCTAGTCCCTAGAATAAAGTTGGTGAGTCTGCGATGTGGAGGGGAAAGCTAGCTGCTCCGGGCTTGCAAACATTTACATCTCAGGCAACTATCCATGCTCTTTGTTGCGGTATCCGGCTTAGGCTGGGCCGTATGCTATCTTCTCCGAAGGGGTTAGGGCACGGCTGGGGATTGCCCTGATGAAGGGCTGACATTTAATGTATGTATGTAGGTAAAAGTAAACATGCACTGAAAATGAAGAAACTATCGTTCAAAACAAATAAATTTAAAGGAAACTTTGGATCACCTAGCTTCGGGGAAGGATAGCATACGGCCCCTGGTGTCAGAGTTCGCGAGTCGCACGTTTCGCTGATTTTCGCGATTTGCGCGATTCACGCGATTCACGCGACGGGTCACGGAAATCACAAGTGCCCGATCAATACTGCAAGGTGTTCTCCAATCCTGCCGCCACTTCTGCTTGATAGTGATGGCTGAATGACGACTGCTCATGATTCCACTTGTTTCATATTCAGTGTTTCAAATGTTCAAATGGGGCACTTGCAATTTTTGCGATCCGTCGCAGGTTTCGCGCAAATCGCGAAAATCAGCGAAACCGCGACGGATCGCGGACTCTGACACCAGTCTCCCCGCTATGCTCTCAGCTCTCACCCCTGCAGCCTGTATTTCGCAAACTAATTCTTTTAGACGCATCTCTAAAAAAGGGCTTACTCAGTGCGTTTTCAAGGGCTTCTTTCCATTTTGCTCCATTCGCGAATCAACTGGTTTCCACTGTTAAATTTTTAAACGTCACGTTTGCCCAGTTTGTGCTGTCGCAGAATGCATCTTCAAGATTGAAGGTCGCAGAATAAAGGAAACTCCGTTTCAGGTTTTGAAGCAGACTGAAATGCAATTGTCGGCAAACACTGAGCAGGTGGCGTTTCTTACGAAACGGAATGAGGTATTAGGAAAGAAATGCGAGGAGTTGGTCGAAAAAAATCGTGTCTGCAGGGAAGAGTGAGTAATCTTGAATCACTGAAATCGTATTTAAAGGACGAATTCACGATTAGAATGAAGGTCGAAGAAGGAGTAATTCACCTAGTTGAGGGACCCGCGGACCTCCTGAGGGTGCGGACTGAAGCGCAATTGGCACCGAAAGAGTTGACCTCGGCGACCTATTAAGGCTCAATCTTGGCGCGGTGGGCCAGTGCACGCCCACCGATGATCACTCGCCGCAGGTCTATACGTGGCGAGTGATTAGATAGCTGAGAGAGCGTAGTGTTGAAGAGGGCACAGCGATGAGAGTCGCATCAATGCTCAAATCAACGGGCAAGGAAGGGGTCCCATTTCTCGGGTTCTGGGCCGTTTCTCATGGTTTTCCTTCTTTCGTGTACCACTCACCATCCCTAGGTTAATTTGAAATGGGTTGCTTTTTCAGCGTGAATTCGTCCTTTAATGTAGTGCGCTCTCGTGTAGTGTCAGGATTCATAACTGTTTAACTGCTACCATCAACATTTCTTTAGGAGGGATGATGCCGTCCAGCTTGTAGCGTCGATGAAGAGAGAAGTTGAAAACATACAGTCGGCACTCGACCTCAGGACAGCGGAATACAAGTATGCATCCAAGTAAACTAATTGTGCATTTAGAACGTGATCAACTTGTTTTCCTATTTTTAAAAGTGTCCGCCCGTACAGAATAAGTTTGAGCACTAAGTTGCGCTCAATCCTGGCGTAAGGATTCAAGTAACTGATGTATTTGAAAATCAATGCACTGTTGCTTTACTCAACTAACCTTTGAATTTCTCCTTCATATTCCCTGATCGACCATCTAGGTTGGAGTAGCAGCTATTATTTTGAGTTTAATTGTTGATCCCGTCACGTTCAGGAAAGAAGGCTCTTACCATGAAAAAGAAGCTGCAACGACAATGGGTAAATTGGGCTTTCATCTGAAATCTGAGCAAACTTTCTTTCTCTTACCTCATCCCTACTGTCAGAAGACAAGAAGTTACGTAGTGAGTAAAATATAATGAGGGCATTTGGCTTTTGCAAGGTGGTGGTGTCCATTTCCTCCAAGTAGGTGCCACTGGGAACTGCCCACTTATGTGGGCTGAGCTAACCACGGACATTCGAATGCAGGGACAGGTTTACGTGACAGGCCGGACACCCACGTCACATCACAAATGGCTGGCTTTTGCAAATGTCGAATTTGACATACTGTGTAGGGTAGAGCTAATACTCCAATGGTAATTTCATTTTCTCTGTCTGCTCTTGCTTATTGTTCGATTCTCCGAATCCATATCTCATTAGAGAACAAAGCCCAAAACTGTACAATCGATGCTTTGTGATTGCTTCAGCCTTTATCTTTAAAAGCGATCGGCTCCGCGCACTTCGTTTAACATAAACATTGAGAGACAAGAGTATAATAGATTTATTAGACAACTGATAAGATGAACAGAACTGGAACACTGAATTCACCGCGAAGTTATCGCCCACTGAGCGTACAAACAGGACATGGTGATCACGCTCGAGGTAGGAAAGCGTAAGTGGCTATCCAGGGCAGAATAGGCATGGACGATGGTACTGGCGGCGCTGTCCGGACGGATGACACGACCTCGCGGCTTCCCCGCGGGTATCTCGACTGCCTGTCCCGTTGTTGCTGTCTTTCCTCGTCCCTCGCATCGTTATCGCCAGCCTTCATCTCCAGCATTCCAGCGTGGGAAGCATCCTAAGCACATTCTTAGTTACCGTATCCTTTACAGCCCTCACTCTACAGTTCAGCCTGTGCCAGAGTTAGTCGCTAATTATTTCCCTTCATTTGTTTAACTTAAATTAACTTGATCTACTATCTGTATTATTCTATTGCATTCATTACCTCACTTTAGTGGTGCATCTTCCGGAAATAGTGCTGTATTTCTAATTTTCTATTGCCTATCTACCAGTCACCGACAGGAGACCCGTCGCCGCATATTAAAATGAAAAAAAATTAATAACACGCTTAGCCCTTTCAATAGCTTTTATTTATGGAAGATTGATTTCAGGAGACTTAAATCAATCTTCCATAAATAACAGCGTTTTTGAAAGAAGATTTAAGCTTGTAATTTTAGGAGAATGGAAGGAGATCTTGCAGCAGCTCGTGAAAGGGAGCGTATGTGGAAAGTGGAGAAATTGGAGTTCGAGAGGAAGTTAGCTGCCAAGGTGATTAATTCATCTGTCGCCATTGATAATGTCTCGTTTGAATTAGACATAGGAAAAGTCAGTGTAGGACAGGTCAACTTTCAGCGCTGTTCCTACAATTTTTAAGCAGAACGCTCTTTTGTGATAACTTTATGTGATACGGCTGTACTTTGAAAGGCACAACTTCCTTCTAAGTGCCTTTTTGCAGGATTCGTTAATAGCCAGTGAAAGGAAACGCATGGAAGACCAGCGAAAACGTGATAAGGCTCAGTTGGCTGAACTGGAAAAGAAACTGAAATGCGAACAACCTGGTTGGGAATCTCAACTAGGAGTGGTGAGTTGTTTTGCTCTCAAGCAAGCATGTACTTTTCAAAACCACT